TGTTGATCGAACAGGGACTGATGGTATCACCAATCAGGTAAGCACCTGACATACTACTGTGACAGCCAACGTTTACTGAAGCTATCAGGGAATCCTGAGAGCCTGTTTTGGCAGCTACTTCAGACGACCTTTGGAGAACGCAGTGAGTCGTCTCGTAGAATGTTGGCAGCTATCGCAACCTCTGCACCTGCGCCATCTGGCTATTGTGAGAGACACGGCACTTCAGCGCACTATCACTCACTATGTGCATTATACTGCAATGAACTTCAAGCAGCTGGTCGATTCAGGGGAGGCGCTGTGGGAGGCGGTTGAGTTCGCTCCGAAAAAAGCGAAGTCAATAAGCGCACACATTCATCCTGTTGATGCTGTTCCTCAACTTGATGCTCATGGGCTCACCCTCGCTGTGCCAAAGAAGGAATTATGCAAGGATGGGAACGTTACACTGCTGGAGTGTATCTCGGTAGTTAAACCGGCAAACTACGTATTTTCAGGCAGCGATGCCGTAGCGGCACGCCGGGAGGATGGAACATACACGGTCCATCAACGTATTCGGGGTTCTGGTGACTCAACTGCGCAGCCTTATGCCACGCCGGTTAGGGTGAAGATAGAAGGTCAGGAGGGCTCTGATACAGAGATGGCTGATGTGCCTTCTGTGAAACCGGTCAAAAGCCGCCCAAGGAAGTCGCAACTTGATCCCGAAGTATTCCGGGGCATGTCTGAAAAGGAGAAGCTTGAGGCTCTTGGATTGGATGAGACTTGGACGGAGTACAGCGTCTTGCTCATAGAACGCACCGGGCCGGGTGTGTACGTTACTACTCGTGGACGTCGGCGACCGGCAGGCAAGAGGCAAGGGCGGCCAAAAATCAGTCGCATCGCCGTGTTCAAGACACCAAAGCTGGAAACTTTGCCTTGGTTCCAGAAAGACACGGCCGAGCCAGATGACGAGTCTGTGATTGTATCCAGGAAGACTCGTTTGCAGGCCAGCGGACGGACTCAGTCCTCTCCTGCAGTTGATGATGGTCTCCCCCCCCAATCCACTTCTCCAGCTCTTTCTGTTAGAGGCTCGAAGAGATTGCGTCAGGATGGGTTAGATACCGAATATGGATTGGAGGGTGAACATGCGCCAAAGCATCGGCGTGTTGAGGAAGTCAATGGGGATTCGCAAGATGGTTCACCGACTGCAGAACCGTCTGGGCGTGAACCTGAAGCGACGCAGACGTCGCCCTTGAGGCGAACAAAAAGAAAAAGAGCAGTGTCGCCTATGCTCACACAAGAAGGTTCCTCGCAGACAGACGACGGCTCTATATTGGATAACGTTTCATCTCGGAAACTCCCGCGGAGCAGCGGCCGACCCGCCACTCGCAATGGGAATATAGAAACCTTTTTCAAACGGGTTCGCTCTGGACAAGCCTTACGGGACAGGAAAGGTACAACCACCGAGTCGACCGCTGAAACCGGAGAAGGCAATGATGCCGTTGAAGATGAGCCTGAGGCTTCAGCGGCGGAAAGGCCATCGGAGAGAGGTACCGTTACCAACGACTCTTCAGAAATCGCTACGACAAACGACATGACTCAACAAAGCTTGGCTGAACCAGCTGCGCCCAAAGCGACAGAACAGAAGAAGAGTGCCCCAGAAGCACCTGAGCCATCTGGTAGAAAGCGGAGAATATTTGCAGAGAAAGGTGGTTCCGTCGCTGTCCTTCGGAGGTCGATTGTCATGGATATCCTTGAACAAGCTGGCGGCGCGTATCCTATGGGCACAGAAATCTGGTATCCATTCATGACAGCCTGGCAAAAGAAGAGACATAAGGAAATACCAGATCTGCGCACAATCAGATCGGTCGTCAAAACCATGGTTGATGCCGGCAAGGTCCGGCAGTTGACTTTCAGTGGGCGAGACCGGAAGGGTGTCATGGTAACAAAGAAGATCATCTATAAGGCGGACATGAAGCCCGACGACCCCCTGATTCTGGATATGCAAAAGGAAATGCTGGCCACAGATCGGTATTATTTCCCTCCTAATGTTGAGATTGACCCAGAGATCTCAAAGAATGGCAATCGGGGTACGCCACGCAGAGATGAGAAACTACTCTCCCAGCTCCCGGTGGAACGGGGCATTACCGTGCAGCTGCACCAAAAGCCGGCAATGGTTCGCGCCGTGGAAAAGCGCCGACGCCATATGCTGCGTAGCGAACTGTTGCAACATTTGAGTATGGGAGAGGAGTATGAGACAGCAGACGGTGCAGAGATCGTGCGACTCATGACTCTGAGTCGTCGCGGTGACCAAGATGATCCACGCGCATTGACATCTATCTCCCGACCGGGGCGTGCGGGCGATGGGCCCAGACGAGGTCAAAGACAGCAGGTGGAGGCAGGGCTGGCTTCACTGCGCAAGATGAGGCGACTGTGGTCTACTATAGCACCCCACGCGATGCTCATGAATACGAAGCCGACGTTCCATGCCACCACTGGAACTTTTGGTACAGAAGCTGGAATTCCGGCTATACAAGCTGCAAGAGACCGCGCGAAAGCGGCTGGAAGAAAGAAAACCCACGACCTACCGCATTCCCTTGATGATCTGTTCAGCCAGACGCGGAGACGAGTCATGGACGACACTGGAGACGCTGACCCACGATCACGCCAGTTCTTCCGGGATAACAATACTATTCTCAAGTGGGAGCTCAGCCACGAGGATTTGCTCCGTCGAAAGAGCGCGGATCTGTTCTACATCAACCAGACTGTTCAAAACATGGAGACTCCTGGTATCGAAGGCGATATCCGGTTCGATGTCGACGAGCAGACTGGAGACGCAGCTACAGAAGTGACACCCATGATTACTCGACATAAGGCGCGTCTGGAACGTCAAACTTCACAATCGCGGCGAAGACGGTCCGAGACTGCTACCGAGCCTGGGCATCGTCGTCTTACCAAGTTGAATGAGAGCATTGCTTCTGACGGAAATAAGCCTGCTACGGCTCAACCCGTCTCGCGCCAGCCATTACGCCGGAGCCGTCTTGTCTCGCAGATGCCACGGACACTAGTCCAGCAGTTCATAGCCGCAATTGTTGCTGTGCGCAGTTTAGCTGGAGGTTCCGATGCTCGTCTGGTTGATTGGTCACTTCTTTGCTGCTGCTTTCCGGACTTGGATCCAGCCTTTGTTATTCACCGAGCTAGAGGAATACTTGGGAAATATCGCCTGCAGATCGCCAAGTTGCAAGGCGATTTCCAAGAAAGGTTCATCGAGGCGTATGCTAATAACGAGGTTCCTCCCATTGACTACGACAACCTAGAAGGGTATGACTGGAAGGGAGTTATTGAGTGGGCGAACACGAAATTAGATGCCCCCAAGTCCGAGAAGCTCCCCGATCTACCTGCAACGCGAGAACAGTTTGACAGTGTCTTTGAACTAAGGGAGGAGGCGCTCGTACCAATCGATGAACTGTACCAAACCAACCAGTCGATAACCGTGGGCCGCAAGCGCGCCCTGATCGCTGGTGTCCCATTCGCTGCTCCTCTGCCGGAGAAATCCAACCGGCCTCAGCCGCGGAGAGCGGAGCTGTCCCGCTTGGAAGTGGTCAAGACCTGGGTGCGAGCCAACGTGGTGACACCAGAGGAAAAGTACCGCCCAGCCGAGGCGCGACAGGCGCTGGAGATGTTCGGAGAGCATGTGGTGCAGCAGGCATTGCAGTCTCTCGTAACAGAACGAGCACTCTCCATGGGCAACAGAGGCCGCATTACCCCAGGCCGAAATTACGACGTGACAGAATACTTCCTATTGGCACTGGGCCGGCGACGCGTCATCGAAAGTACGGAGCTGCGGCGAGCGCAGCGATTCAAGACCGAGATCCTGGATCCGACATTGCGCAAGCAAGGATACATGGACATCGACTACAACGCCGAAGACGGCGACATGCTTGTAGTGATCAACCTGTTTGCCACGGGTCGTGTGGTGCTTCACCCGCGCGATGTGCCGCGCGAGAAGTACGGACTAACGGACGGGGGCTACCTGACGCGACAAATCGACAAGGACAAGCTGCGATTCTCGATGGAGGTGCGACCGGCCAAGTCGTACGTCTATGGCAACCCTATCCAAGAGAAGATGCGAAGCCTTGTAGCACCGCGTCCACAGGGCGTCGACGCGGCCACGCAGCTGCCAGCGAAGATACCCCTGTGGTACGACATCCACGGGTCGTTTGTCCGGGTGCTGTGGGACATGGCGTTGGCGGCGGTCGTGGGATGCGTGGCGACGCGGCCGGGGATTAATGCCAGTGTGATAGCGGGGATGTTGAAGCCGACGATGGGCGAGTGGGAGGTGCAGTTGCTGTTGGAGTGGTTGGAGGGGGTGGGTGTGGCGACGCAGGAATCGGGGTGGGTAGTACGAGAATGGTGGTGGATGGTATTGGGTGATATTTAATATGTACATTGCGCAGATACAGATTGGATGAGTGTTTAGTAGCTCGAACTTGATGTATGTAAATGACCAATTAATGCCAGACACTGAATTTTGATGTCAGTTCTACCTTAGCAATATCCCATACAAAACCTGCCTGCCTACCTACTACAGATAAACCTAACATAATCTGACTTCTCTCCATCACACAATCATCTTTGAATTACAAACACTAACCCCCATCCCAAACATACCATACTACCACACCCACTTACCCACATCCTACATCCTACATCTCGAACATTCAACCACAAACTCACATTGAAATTACCAGAAACACAACCTGTGGCAAGCCTAACACAAAACACCTAATATACAAAACCATAACCATTATACCTAATAACCCAGGGTGCTTATAGATACCATCCAACGCCAAATAAACACCATTGCTTCATGTAGAACACAAATATAAGTAAGGTAAAGAAGAATCAGGATCAGTCCATGTCCATGTCGCGCGTCAGCCGTCGCAGGATCATGGCTACTAGGGCGATGATAACCCCGATAATGGCTCGGTCGAGCCAGGGGGTATCTTGAGATGTTGCAGCAGCAGCAGCAGCAGGCACTGGTGGTGGAGGTCTTGTTGCTGGGGGAGTATGTTGTAATTGCTGTTGTTGGGGCTGCTGTGCCTGTGCCTGTACCTCTGCTTGAGGGATCTGAGACGTATCCACACCTGCAGATATACCTGCATCCGCAGCTGCAGCCTCATCCCCCTCCTTCTCCTCCTCCTTCCTCTCCTTATCCTCACTTTCATCCCCCCCAATATCCTCCCCCTCAACCACCACCCCCCTCTCCCTACAAACCCCCCACCACTCCCTCATAACAACCTCATTCCCCCTCCCTTTACTCCCCTCACACCCCTCACACCTCCACGTCCTACTCTCCCTCGCATACCTCCTCCTCACCTCATCCGCCACATCCAACCCGCCCACCTGGCCCTTCGCATCCCCATCCATGAAACTCCGCAGGGCAATCAACGCCGTCCGGATCCCCCACGCTGGCTGCCACGTCTCCTCATGATGGCCTGAAATACTGAGACAGATCTCGCGGTTGACTTCGAATCGTCCCGAGGGGGTTAGGAATCGGAAGCTGGGCGGGCGGAGTGGGTATGTGGGTGGGAGGGTGATGCGGCCGTGGTAGATGCCGCCGGCGTAGGGGGAGGGTGGTGGTGGGCCGAGGAGGGTGAAGTGCCAGTCGAAGAGGTTGGTGTCGGATACGGGGGCGGCGTGGAAGTAGGGTGATGGGTTGGTTTGGAGGTCGGTGGATTCTTTGAGGAGGCGGCGGGTTGAGGGGGACATTGTCTGCTTTTTATATTGGGTTGGGTTGGGTTGGTGGTGTCACACCGGCGTTGGTTGGTGGTGTGGGTGTTGTGTGAGCGATGGTGGATGGTGAGGTGAGGTATAGGTGATGATGGATGGATACTCGGAGATATAGATAAGGTGGAGATCCGGATAGGCCAGTTGGCCTGACGTTTATATGCCTTAATAATCAGGTGTCATCCACATTCCATTAACTCCGTAGTATGATATTCATAATAGTTCTAGCGTGTTAAGCATTATCATCCTAGTATATACTGGTACACATCAATCCCAGCTCCGCCATTCATCCTCTCGTCCGTGCATCTCCTCTTCGCTCATCTCTCCCTCGCTGTCCTGTCCCCGCAGCCGTGGTGACATCGGCGCCAGTGTCTTCATCGACACGCCCGTGTTCGGCCGCTCCGGGTCACGCACCACATCCAGTGGTTGGTTCGGCGTCCAGTTGGCTGCGGCAGATGCACCCCATGCATGGCTGTTGTTCATGTTCCGCTGGTACAGGTCCCGCTGATATTGCTGTTGCTCCGCCGCCTCCCGCTCCCGTCGCTGCCGCACGCGATCGCGCGCCTCCATGAACTTGGAGCTCGGCTCCCAGTGCCAGCCATCGCCTGTCGTCGTACACACCGGCACTGGCCACAGCAGCGGACGGTCACCGAACAAGTGCCGCAGATTGCGTCGCCATCCCAGGTCGAATGCGTGTGGCATTTTCTCGCTGTCCTCCTCGTCCAGGTAGTTCTGGTACCGGTCGTGCTCACGCTGGCGCTCCATCTCGGCGTACGATCGCGACAATGCCTGTTGTGCGGGTGACATCCGCATCCCGGACGGTGATACACTGGGCGGAGGAGTCGGTTCCTCGCCCTCTTCGGCCCGCGTCACTCCCGGGATCGCATTCGCGTGGGCGTCGAGGATCTGTCCTCCGTAGTCCTGCAGCCGGTGACCAAAGCCTTCTCGGTCGCCCCCTTCGCTGCCCAGCACATTCTCGTAGCGGTGGCGATCCAGCGCTTTCCGCAACGGAGACACATACCGGGTCTTCTCCAGACACTCAATCGTCGTGATACCCCGCAACGCCAGGCTGATATGCCAGACGGTAAAACCTGACAGCACCAGGCCGATAATACCACCCAGCACCGCCAGCAACACCACGTTGATCGGCAGCATCTTATCCACATCGATATATTTACTGTCGTCCAGCATTTCCGTCCATATCCACAGCGCCGCGACGATGAAATCCACCCAGCAGAAGATCGACGTATATATCAAGAACAGCAGGAACGCTTTGTAGTTGTACAGTCCGACACATGTCGCCAGCCACGGACAGTGGTGATCCATCTTCAGCACGCAGCGCTTGCATGTTGAGCAGTGGTGCGCCCGGTCCGGTTTGGGGCACTGGCATTTCTTGCAGAATCGGGATCCACCGGTCGAACTCACGGTGTAGGCGGTATACTGTGGTAATTCGGTCACCGGAAGTGCACTATATTCATGTCGACCGCGGCCGCTAGGAGTGAGAGGGGATCCGGGATCGGTGAAGACGGCGACCGTGTAGCATGCGTTGAGGCAGATGTAGAGGATGATTCCGAGGAAAGAGCTTGGGATACCTAGTTTGCAGGTCTGTAAGCAGATGAGTGAAACAATGAGAAACCACGGTTACACACCGATCCAAGCACTCTCAGACGGCTTGAAGCCGACACTGGCCTCGACCCAGACAGCCCATGTCGTTAGGCTGTAGACGAATGCCAGAGGGAAGAATGATGCTGCCGTGCAGCAGTAGCGTTCAATGCGGAGAGCCCAGGCCCGCGGACGTCGTTTCGGCCACGAAGGCGAGGATGGAGGTGAGGCTGCCAGTGTTGCCATGGTCATATGGAGTATGGAGTATCAGCGAGATGACATCCACGTTGCGAGCGTCAATTCAAATCATGGCGATAACCGAATATACAAGGGTGTGGTGTCAGCAGCGCAGCGGTGACAACTCGAATGTACAGCAGTTGGAGAATACACTCTACTATGAACGAGTCTAGAAAGGAGTAAAGTGGGAATGAGAGATGACGGGGAGAGCGGAAGTGGAGGGAAGGAATGGAACTGATGGATCTGGCGATCTGAGGCACCACATTATTCTTACGTTACATGTACCGTACCGCACAGCCACGGTTTGCCGATCACATGCGCCTATATTTAGATTGTGGCTCGGCACCTGTTGGTTATTTACCAAACCGCTGCCTAGTATTATTTACTACTCTTAACTACCGCTTAATCATAATCATTTATCATTGGGATTTCCACCCCATACTATGGTATAAACATGAGTCGCTGGTGCAACTACAGCACCAGATACAAGTATCCCAAACGCCGCTGATACTGCCTCGATATATGATAACCGCAGATGCGACAGGATATCCTAAGAACCAGACCAAACATATACCAGAGAGTATAACACAGTGAAGAAAGAAAATTTCGGAATGTAGTCGCTCAGGAGGTCTTCGTTGTCGTTGTCGTCGTCAATTGGCCTTCTTTGCACCATCCATTGACAGGCTGTGACACGGTTAGCATGAGCGTATTCCACCAGCATTGCGTTACTTACCAGACAACTCAACCGGTAGCACCAGGAACAGTTAGACTTGGGATACTTGTAGAAATCGACAATCAGAAGGATAAATCCGACGAGCACCGCGACCAAGGCACCCGCGCGAACCAACCACCATGCCCACCACAGTGGCTTCCGACCCCGGAAGAAGTTCATTGGGTTCAACTTGTTGTTGCTGGCGCCTGCCCCGGTGCGAGTCCGACGTCCCTTGAGGAAATCAACCAAGCTGGGCCCAGTATTCACCTTCTGGCTGTCATCGGGCGTGGGAGTGCCCGCCCCGCCGCTCATGGCAACATACGGGTTGCGCGCCAGGCCAATCCTCTCGCGCAGCGCGTTAGGCGACCGAAGAAGACACAAGCCCAGAGCCAGCCCCATGATGAAGCCTCCAATGTGAGCAAAGTTATCCAATCCTGGCAAAAGCCCCAACACGAAAGACACCGCAATACCCAGGATCATAATGATCAACTCCACCCAAGGAGAAGCGCGGTCCTTCCATGTATAGAGGAGGTCCAAGATGAATAAAGCGAGAATACCGAACAGTGCACCAGAGCAGCCGCACGACGCCTCGCCCTGCCCAGCATAGTTGCCGCCCAAAACAAAGCCCCAAATTCCACTAGCCACATAAACCAGGAAATATCGCCACCAGCCGATCATCCGCTCCATGTCAACTCCCATGGTCAACTGCACGATCAGGTTGAAGCCGATGTGGATGAATCCGGTGTGGATAAACATGGGGATAATAAACCGGAACCACTGATTGGGCGCCGGTTTGTCGTCAAGCGATCCGTGTGGATGAGGATTCGGTACACCGCTGAAACCGCACGCTTCGGACAGTGTGCACTCAGTCGCCGACGTGGTGGCATTCGGGCAAGAAAAGAGGATTGTTTCGTTGGCGTTCTGAATGCCAGGTACGTTCTTCATGCATGGTGTGTACCGCGATCCCATGTAGATTTGCATGTACGAGGATGGTCCGATCATCACGTTGAAGGATGGTTTCGTCTCGATAGGAGAGCCTGTAAATTGAGCTGCAGGATTGTTAGATAGATTGCAAGGGACCTCTTTGCCAGCCGGACATACCATTCTTCACCAATTCCACGATGAACACAATGATCTGAACCAAGGTAAACGCATATGTTACCCACGGAATCTTCTTCTGAAAGAATCCCTTCTTCCTATTCCTGTTCCTCCGCGCTGTCGGAGCGACCGGTGGTTCAATATCTTCAGGGGTGGGCGAATAATGAGTCGGCTGGTGCATCCAGTTCGGCGGCGGAGATCCATTTGCATACTGATTACTCTTCAGCGGAATATTCTCAGAATAGGGCTCGTCATTCAGCCTTCCACCGGCCGCATATGCTTGGTCGGAACCGAGAGATTGTTGACTGTGGTGAAGTTGAGGGTCGGCTGCCGTGGGCTCGTAAGGATGTGTGTGGAAGTCAGGATGGCCTGGGGTCGGAATGTTATCGAAGTGAGGATTAGCTTGTTCATAGGAAGGCGGGTTGTTGCTGTAACCGCCATGGTAGTAGCTGTTGGCTGCCATATTGAATGGACAGCCGGGCGGGCGAAAAGCGCAGACAAGGAGGTCGTGTGTCAATCAGGTCAGTGTGATGGCTGAGTGCAAGCGAATGTCCGGTAAGCTTCTGGCTGGCCGATCGTGTGGTTGCGTAGTAAACAGTAAAAATTTATTTTTTCTTCTGCGAACGAGAGGATGGGTTTGTTGACAGGGGTCGTCTCGCAGAGATGACGACGGCACGTTTGGGCGGGCAACAAGCAGGGCTGAAACAATCAATCAGAGAATGCCCCTGACCCGGAACCGACTTTCAACTGCGGCAAATGGCCCCCCAACGATCCAACGAAACGAAGGGTCTATCTATCTCCAGCGGAATTCAAGGAAAAAAAAGTAACGAGAGATTCTTCCACCCAAAATACACAGACAAGGACGGGGAATAACACGGTCAAGCTGTCAAGAGAAGGGACAAATGAACGAAAAGCCGGTGAGATAATAAAAAGATGGGTAAGAAAGAACGCAGAACGAAGTGTTTAGGCAGGCGGTTTTCAGTCTGGGCGGGCGACTATTTTTGGGCGCGCTGCTGATCTCCAAGAAACTTCGTCGTCAGCCGCCAGTCCAAATGGAAAACACTCCCCGATGACTGAGCAACGCGGATCCAGTCATTGTGAAGCGTCAGTTTGGTTGTGTTCCCGCAGGCCACGCAACATCCCGCGACCGTGAATGGCTTTGAGGCTATGGCACAGCAGTACTTAGTGAGTACTAACTACTAGTGACCCGTTGCCTCATGGCGGTGTTCCCCCCCCCACCACGATTTAAAGACAGGGCTGGGCATGTTGTGGCTGGTTATCGTTGGCGTATGCCTCTCTCCACTTCATTAGCAAAGAGTTATTGTGTGCAGCAGCGTGTCTGCTCTTGACCGACCATCCCCTTCCAGCCTTGTCATCATCATCATGTCCCCGGTTTATCAACCCGATCGGATGCTCGTGTCCACGCATGCTTCCGTACACAGTTAGTACTTCAGTAGTACTTACGAACAACACTAAGTAATGAGGGAAATCACATCCCTTGCGGCAGACCAATCATACACGGGTTCATATTTGACATTAAGCATTACTAGACATTTAACAATACCATTCGCCTAACCCACACGAGGTTCATCTATACATCGATTCGCGTGTGGAATCCGATCTGGGAGACATCCTATTCCCCCCCGACCCTGCTGTCCTGAGCGACTCATTATACAAGCCAAGGAGGTAAAAACCAAAAATCCAAACTCACGAGCTCCCATCCCAACCCAGGACTGAAGGGTCGGGTGCTCCCGTCTCTATCGGGGTGAAATGCCACATTACTTGCCGTCCTACACGCTTGGTCCGCGTGTTCGCATTAAAAATCGATGCCTTTCCGTTCAGTTCATTAAGTCTGTGCGCAGCAACGCGCTAAGGTTGATCATAGTAGTCCCGGAACGCCACGGCAACGCCATCATTTGAATCGAATGTACGGAGTACAACAGGGTCTATCCCAACCCTCATTCGTCAGCTGCACAACGCACTGTGTAACTCAAATCAGCGATTACTTACCATCATGACAGACCCTGTTGTCTTATACCAAAAAAAAAGCAAACAAACCAAGAGCAAAAATAATATAGTCATGATGTCGGTCAGGCAAATACGCTTAGCCAATGGTCAGGTGATTCGCTTAGGTGGAGGGCGTGGATATCGAGTTGACGTGCGAGTCGAGGATGCCCAAGGCTGCACCCATTTCCTCGCTACTGTGTCCGGTCAACAGCCATACGAGACGGCTGAGCTTCTGGTACAGCAACGCGGGGAAATAAACCAGCAGTGCCCAGAACAGCAAGGACAAGACGACCATCACGAAGGTGTTGGCCACCAGCTTCTCCCCTGGCGTCATCACATAGAGTCCAAATGTAACCTCGTAGCGGTAGTATTCCAGCCGGATACGGTCGACAGATCGCTGCAAGATGTTGCGCCGGGGGTGCTTCATGGACAAATGACTCGAACAAGGGGAGTTCGTCATGGTGGAGGAGTATTTGTTGATCAGCTCATCCACTGCAGCCGGCGCATGCGACGAGATATGTGTGGAGGTGGAGGGGGTGTAGAACGACTGCATTTCCGTTGCCATTGTCAAACAACACTAGAGGAGTCGCACTGAAAGAGCCGTTGCTTCCCTGCGCTACACGTTGTCGAGTGCTCAGCGCTTTCCTGTCCGCTGCCTCGGTCGGATATCGTGCTGAGCAATCGCTCGAGAGTGACGCAGGTCCTTTGGCTCTGAATTAACTGGCCGTTAAGATCCTAATCAATCTGGAGCGTCTCCGCGTCTCAATAGTCGGCCGTGAAGGGGGTTTGATTTATCGAGGTAAAACTCCGTTAAGATGGGCTATGGGGGGAAAAGGACCGACGCGAGAATGATCGGAAGCCGGGGAAGGCTTGAGAACTAAACAGACCGTTGCTGAGAAATACAGAAGCGGGGTCAATGCAAGAGAGAATACAAGTAGCGGAGATTAAGAGGAAGAGGAGGAGAGCAAGCAGTAACCGACTAAGGCACCAGGGGAGGATGAAGTGAGAGTTGAGTTGGGGGAGATGGAGGAGAAAATCGGTAAGGCGCGGATCGAGGAAAAGCCGCCGTGAGGGATGATTGGAAGATGGAAGGTCTGCTCAGGCAATAGTCCAACTAGTCCAGCTCCAGGGCGTCCTGGCCAAGAATTAATTCGAACTAAACAGCCGCGGATGACTCCAGTGTCTGGGATGGTGCAGAGTCCAACTGCTGCAGAGTTGCTGGATCATCGTCATAGAAATTAATTTGCAATGCGACGCTCGCGAGGGCGACTCGGTCATTGGCCGCAACCGGCGCCCGGAACTCATTTGCTGGGAGGAGCTTCGGCTCTATCGGCATCGCCCGCGTCGGTGGTGGTCCTTCCTTGGTTCTGTGTGGTTTGATTTTTTTTTTTTTTTTTTTTTTTCTTCTCTTTCTTCTTCTGTTTTTTTCTCTTGTTTTCTTCCTCTTCTTGTTTTTCCTCCTTCCTCTAGACTATGTTCTCCATCTTCAGCCCCGTCCCTCGAACCTTGATCCCTATAACACGCTTAACTATTCCCGTAATCAGTAATTCTTCCTTCCTATGCCTAATTTACGGGAAAGACATCATCCCGATGGAGCCCAACCTTCTTTGCCCCGGACTTTCCACTTAAAGAAGCTCATCCCCCCCTAGCTAGCATATCTCGCGCGATAAGAGGCGGCAGGGCGTCCACGAGCGTTCACATTATGATAGTCCATGTGTGCCCAGTTCCTTGCATAAAGTTCATAACGCCCTTGATCGCGCACGTCCCCCTTCGTTGAGGTAAGCGGCTGTGATACCCGTCGGAGTGGAGACTCCCGCAGCCAGATGGTCGCTCATTCTATGGAGCAAAGGGAAAACAACTGCGGTGCCATGCGAGTTGGACGTTCAATAGAAGTATCAGGAACTAAATACCCTGCAGCAAGTCTGTTAGCAGATTAGGTATCACAATCTTTGTGTGTTGTGTAACTTTGGCTGCTGGTCTTCCATTTCGGAACCAGAAACCTTCCCCGGTTAGTTTGAACTATCCTGGTCAGTTGAGCTGCCTTGGCACGATGATCTACCGTGGTTGGATTCGCAGCCGTCTGAGAAGCATAAGCAGATCGAACTTAGCAGATTCTTTATTGAGAGATTGTTGTCAATGAACTGGCCAGAGTTACGACCTTGACTCTGGTGGTAAATGCCGGGTGTAGATTTTTGGGGTTCTGTCGGACTTTTGTTGTGGTTGCATGCTGCGAAGTGAAATATATCTTCATTCACTCAAGTAACTGCAGCGTTTGGCATGCTCTCATAGTCACTACTTGACTGCGGACTACACATGCCATGTTTGGAATACTATTGTCTGCCAAAGCAATTCATGGCGAAATTTCCTTGAAAAAACTTGTGCACATGTGGTCTTACCACCATGTAAGAACAGATTGGTCGCTCAATGCGCAGTCTGCCATCTGCCATGTGACACGTATCAATCCAGCGAGCACACGTCGGAGAACAATCGTATTCTGCATGCTCAGGCCACTGGGAAAGTCGAGTAGGTCGATTGTCACTGGGAGTGGCATACAGCAGATGAATAGCCTCCTGTGTGACGAGAGTTCATCAACGTGTGAGTTCCACGTTATCTGTATTTGGTCTCTTATCCGTGCGCATTAGCCATTGCGCCTTCGATTAGCGTCCTCTGAAGTGAAGGTAAGGGTGATGAAAAAAACAAGGTATCGAGGAGAAGTGAATCAATAAATACACCCGGTGCTGGATGATTTCTTAGGTAATATGTAAAAGCCTGGCCCGGAGATAGCCTAATCTTGTAACTAATAATAGAATACCCATTCACGTATATGGACCGTACTGAAGGCTTTATCTATTGTATTGGAAACCGTTGTTACATGCATAGGGCTGACTGTATGAGGTCCGCATGTAATGTGGCTCCATTGAGAATTGAATCGACAATCTGAGCCTAGTGTAACTTCCTATAAGATCTGTCAAGTCATTTGAGAGATCGCGAATGTGCCCCAAAAATAGGCTCGCAATGTAATTGATGGCGAGCTCGATGCTTCTAGCTTTTGTTGTTTTAGAAGTTTTCTGAAATCCAATCATCCATACGGATGGATGCAATCCCCTCGCCGCACCGCGCGACCTGATAATATCCTGTGAAATTTTCCGCTCTCTTCACTCGGTCCAGTAGACAATTCCCTGAGGGACCTGCCAAACAAAGCCCATTCGCTGTGGGCTTGCATCAAGCGATGCTAATGGTGTAGCTTCTCATACTCACATGCTCAAAGACAGTATTAAAAGGCTTCCGATCTAATATTGTTTCTTAATTGATGAAGCGGCTGTCCAATAATGCTTACTCAGGTCGCCTTTGGTGGACGTATTGATTGGCCAAATGCATGTGTGTTCCATTTTCTCGTGATATTGTTCTAGCTACTTCGCGATATTTATCAAGAGCAGCTGGGTTAGGAAGACTCTGTTGCGAGAAGATGTATAGCTTTATCTGACAGCAAAACCCGACAGATTTTAGGGCGAAAATGGATGAACTTCAAGAAAATACAAAGCCCGATTTATTTTGCTGGAAGCTCAGCTCTCTGAACAGTCCGCGCAAGCAAGAAGTCGACCTCTTGCTATGGGATCTTCTGCTTCATACCTTTTTCGACTCGCCTGACTTAATCACAGATGAGAGATTGCGATGGTGCCCCAAGACATTCATTCACGGCCTCCACCATCGCCAATTCCATCCCGGGATTACTGTCGGTATTAATCGAGTTACATCCTATTCAACGCCCTGGGTAGTTCATATTGACTAATGCGCTCTTCCTCTCTAGTGCAATGTGGTCGAAGGCTACTGGAACCAACATGGTCCTTCCTGTCATTCTATACGCAGACTCGGACTAGCCCAACATACATCGACATCCCATTCTTAGTCTTTGCCCGTGCATCATGTGGTCTAGAACTTGCTGACACACACAATCGCGCCATAATTTTGCACCACAACGCCCTTAAAAGATCTCAATGCCTTAGTCTTGTCTCGCTATAGTTCTATTTTGTTGAAGGAATTCGAGATCTGTCCACGGGCACTTATTCCCCACTTGGCACCGAAAACCAGCCAGCTGTCACACTGTCGGAAAGCGTCCGAGCGTCCGGACCGCCACGGCAAAGCCCAGAGCTCATGTCCTGCCATGCGTCTACCCACGACTAGACATGTATCCTAAGTTAGCGACATGAGCGCGAAGTCTAGCACGAGTCGCATATGTCTGCTTGACAGCTAGAAAATTACGATTCATACAGGTAGTATGTACGAGTGTCTTGAACCTGAGATTCCTTGTCAAGATCTCCCAGATTCAAAACCTGGAACTACATTTCCGTATCTGTTATAAGTGCATTCCTATATTCAGAACACAAACTGCAGCTCATGAAGTTACAAGGAAAGTTCTACGCGAGCTCGTATGGAAATTTCTCAGCTTCTATGCAGGCATATTCCTGATTAACTTTAGACTTGGAAGCGCGGCAAACACGGAACGTGCGGAACGTCGGGCGCTGTACCTTGTAGGGTTGCCCCGTTGCAAAGGTACCTACATAAGTTATGGATCATGATTGGTTCTTTCCTTTATATATATTATCAACGGAATAACACGACGATCTTTATTTTATATTTATCTGATAATCAAATCAGTGATACATACGTACTGCCCCCTTAAATTATAATCACAACATGTGTGGAATATTGCTGTTTCGTAACATGAGTAGCAGACATGTGTGGATTAGTCTTACGCCATGACTCGCGTGGTCGAATACACGTCCGCTGTAATGCGCCAATGCTGCATCGGTCAAGACGAAGGAGGGGCATTTCAGTACTTGTGATATTAAACACCGATGGGAGGGTGTCCACCTCCGGAGTACTTACCCGAAGGGTCTTTTTTCTACGCACAGCTTCAATAACAACCCGAGTAGAATATCTTTTCTTTTCTTTCCTGACTGGCTGGCCTTTACTTCCGACACAATGCATACAGTAGTAGAAAGAATCTGCAGCGCCCGTGGATAATGCTACAGCTGAGATCTTATCTGACCAGTCCATAACACTCTATCTTTTCCGAAAAGAAACATCTTCGAATCCTACACGAAGTTGATCCCTCCGGCTGAGACCGCATCCCACCCGTCTTTGCCTCCGTCCAGACGTGCTTTGTACACATGGTGATGTGCTGGCAAGAGAGGTTGACAAAGTACTTCATGCAGTTGTGTTTGGCTGGACCACCGCATCGCCCCTCAGCTTCGAATACAGATCCTGGCCGAAGACTCCTACGCGGCATTTCCATGGGCCGGAAAATATTTGCGTGGTCTTGGAATTGGTCCAGACCGCCTGCAGCAGCTCAGAAATTCGCTGGTGACAGACTAGGAGCAGACAATGTACTCTTGGCAAGAGGCCATAGAGCACTCAAGATAACCGAGCAACTACTTCCTCTCTGCCAATGCTCGATGATCGTAAAATAAGCGTCTCGGCACAGCGATTTCTCGATTTCAATAGGTGGATATACGTTACAACCCAGGATCAATGGATCATAGAATCTGTTTCTTCGAGACCGCATCAGGGACCAAGACACGAGCCATTGCCGCACCGGGCAAGATAAAAGATTACTCGGCGCTTCCGCCGCTGTACATCGATGTCAGCGCATGCCAATCATACAAACAACAGGGTGTGGCTTACGCCACAAGATTCCTGGATCACCGATCACAAGCCGATCTACATGTAGGGCGTGGCAGTTCTCATGTTTGACTTTTTACAGGAGTCCAGACATTGGACCACCTGTACTGCGCACTCCTGAGGGATGGATTGCTAGAAAAGACGCAATGTAAGAGGGAATCATTATCCGGGGGAGGAAGGCTATTTCATGCAGAGGGCAACTGCTCAATGCACAGGCCACTGGCTTTGTAAAGACTGAAAAACCAGGCGGCAGTAAATTACGGAGATGGAAGCTACATTGGACCAGATCAGAATGCTAATCGTACCGCTGATAACCTGGGTGTTGTAGAGATGTTACAGTGCAAAAACCATTTGTGTTAATTGTGGGAGCTGAAGGGTCCTCGACTTCCAACCTCCTTTCAATTTCTAGCTTCTTTGACCTCTTCGTCGGAGTACAGGCAAGCAACCCAGCAAATCTCTTGCCAGCACATACAAGGATTCCTGGGCACGAAAAAAAAAAATAAAAGATCTGAATCTACACGATAAACAAAGAGGTGGCCACAGGCTAAGTAAATACCCCGCATGGTTGACGCATAATAGCGGCTGACATATAGGCAATGTGTTCGCCTGGGCTCGGATCTAGACTCTGGCACTTTTTTTTCCGCGGATGGTCAAACTGTCAGACAATTATCAGGGGCATATTCCACTAAGAAGATAGTACCATCTGTCACTTCTTCCGAGTTCTTGAATACATCAAGTCACAATTTAGATTGAAAGCTGATGTTCCGGTTTGTACTAACATTACTGTTTGTGTAGATCTCCTTGCTATACTCTCAACAGTACCATCGCCCCCATCCACACCCATGGCATTCCTCAGCTAAGGAAAAAAAAAATTTTCGGCTGGGATTTTCCACATCCTGCAGTAAGACAATTTGGTCACTTTGGCCCGTTTGTGGATCATACCGAGAGTGGAGGCAGGGATTATCGCTGAGCTTCGCTAGTCGACGGAGATGCTGGCTTATGCACGATGCCCGACAGCTGTCGTTGAGCAAAAGCTTGCGACAATCCCAAAAATACTCCGTGTAGTGCTCATATTAATTAGTCGTCTTTAGTCTCGGGTATACCCCGTGACAAGGGTACATGGTCCTATCACCGTGCCTGTCAACTATTTTCCAGTCTGCGCCGGGCGCCCCCACCTGCTATTAGTCTGACAGACGGTGGCGAGGAAGGATTTTCCAGGCCTCCTTACTGGTGCAATCCGCCAAGGAGGTACTGCGTACTGGGCAAGCCGTTAAGTAGCGTGGTGGCGAAATTTATATTTGCTACTGAAACAGATTTTGATATACCCGACAACCAGGATGGCAGACTGCAGCGTCTGCAACTGGACCCGCTCCTTTCCAGAACATAAATTGGCTATCAGAGCAATGGGAGAAGGATGTAGTGGCAGGCAGGACCTGAGTTTTCAAAAAATCAGTGTGAATAACCCGTTTCGAGGGCGTCTACGGCTCATTGACTATATCGTTGCCTCTACATTGTCCTGATATCTTTCTTGCGCGGTGCACCATGTCTCAACACTGTAATTCCCGCTTTGACAGAGTAGCGAGCTTGTAGGTGTCCTTACTTCTCTCTGTTAGTGGGAGAGACGCAGGCTGTTAACACATGATATTCTCTGTCAGAAGGGCCGCTCGACCAGGGTTTCAGACAGCAGAGCTCGATATCACAGGCATCCCTGTTGTCAGCGACCAACAAAGTCTTCCAATTGAGTTGTCGAGGACCGATGAGAGCC